TTTGTAGATCTTTCCTGTTTTTTGTTGGTAAACAAGCAGCTACAGTATGAATTTTGCTTTGCACTGGACTGAAACAATCTCCAAAGGATCTCGACGTGGTTGTTTTGGTCCACGTGCGAGTGCGATTATCGTGTTCACACCAAATAAACAAACCACACCAAGAGGGAAAACCAACAAGGGTCTGATTTAAACATGCTAAACAGCAGAAATGTGAAAACACTGTTTTGATGAAAAACACATCTCACCAGGAGATGTAAACATATATGAAACTGTCTACTTAGTTGGTGATTCTTTTCCTCTTTAAATTGGACTGGTTACTACATTTAGAGAGGGATCCTAATCTTACAGCTTAAACTTCCAAACAAGCGCTTCTTCTGCTTCAGTGCTTTTTAAAGACCGACAACACTTTTGGGATTCACGGGAACCTTGTTACCCAGTCTCCCTTTGGACCATTCACATGCTTTTTGTCCAAACAGAAGGAAAAGTTCAGCTTCTCCCATGTGTTGATGATTTACATTTGATTTATTTCTTTTGGTCCGATGCTGCCAGCACCAACCATTTCATGTGAGGATGCTCATACCTAGATTTGGAAACTTTGGGTTGATTATAAAACTGATAACAACCCTCACGCATCCTCTTACCCCACTGATCATGTTAGGGGATGTGCAGCCAGGAATGATTAACTTGCTTTGTAGCACCGGTCTCGGGATCATCCCCTGCACTTGAGACGGTGTCGACAGTGAAAGTCCATTTCTCAACCACAGACCGTTTCAGCTCACAGAGCTAAATGCAGCGCGAGTGGGCTGTCTAAACTGTGTCCAGGGTCAGGTTACTCATATCAACTGGAACTTTTCTTTTCAGTTACTGAAATGTTTCATCTTTAAAGTTTGTTCAGAACAGACAAACGCTGTCAGCATTTCTCCACCTTTTTGTTTTCGGTGTATTAACTTTCCAACCCCGCAGCCTTCTTCTCACTGTCTGTGGTTAACGAGCTGCCTTTTCTTGTTGATAGATGACGGGCTAATTAACACGCAGGTGTGACAGCAGACTCAGGTGCTCCCATCAATATGACAACACCATCACTGCTGAGCCATGAAGACAGCCCTGGATTGTATTTTAAGAAAAAGTTGTTTTTTAATGTATATACATTTATATATATCATATTTGTGCAAAACACATTTTATTCTGATACTGCCCTTTAATTAATTTATTGCTAATTTGCCAGTCATTTACTGTTTTTACATTCTATTGATGTGATTGGTTTATCTTTAGTTTCTCCTGTCATTGTAATTAAAAGGCTCATGTCACGGCTGCCGAGGCGAGCCGTGTGGAGTTGGAAGAAGGACCCAAGATACAGGCAGTGGATGAGATACCGGTGGTTTTATTTACAGAGGTGTAGTGGCAAACAAACAGTGGGGCATAACAAATAACTAAAGACACCTAAACTGGGAGAACTAAAAATAACAGACCTGGGAGCATACGACAACGGGATGAGAAGCAGAGAGACGCAAACGAGGAACAGGACACCGTGGAACACAGGGTAACGCAGACTGACACGGCGTTACACAGACGAACCGGCAACAGGCAGGAGAACACACAGGGCTTAAATACACACACACCAGTAATCAGGGGATGAGAGACAGGAGGGCAACACAGCTGGGAGGAATCTGGGCTGACGGGACAGGGGAAACGTAAACTGATCACACTCACATACGACGCGGACCTTCACAATAAAACAGGAAACTCAGACACATGGAACCAGACAAGACATTGAACTAAACAGACAGATTCACAAACAGATGGGGTGACACCATAGACAGAGACACAGACTCAAAGGCAGACCAAATATAACACACAGAACTCAAACAATAATAATCATCATCATAAACTAGAAAATGATAACTAAAAGCGCTGGGTCACCGACCCAGGACCATGACAGCTCAACTGTATGATTGTTGTGCATGCATACACATTTACAATGACATACAAATGTGAAAAAATCAACCCGACTGTGAGGACCGACCCTAATTAAAGTTGTAGCTGTCAGATAATTAATTTATTGATAACAAGAGGCATGACTAATTTGTTTAGAGATCAGCTGTCAATCATGACCCATACAGCAAACAGCACATGGTAACGTCAGTATTAATGTGACAGAATTCACACATACTAACCTAACATAAGCTTTGGCATTTTTTTTTTAGCTGTGTTTTGATTTTTTTTTTCCTCTCATGTACTTTCTGCCAACAATCAGGGGATGGGATCTCTGACCATTACTGTAACCAGCAATTGGTGGGAAAGCTAGATATTTTAGTGCCACTTTTGGGGAGCTGTCATGTCTTTCATCTTTATTTTACTTCAGTCCAGGGAAAGAATAGGCATGTATACCCAACAGACAGACCCAGTGGTGCCCAAAGTTACATACTTAGACCTGGATCTCTCATCTCGTCTCTAACTACATGACTTGTTTTGCTGTATCTTATGAAAAAGTCAGTAACAAATGAAGTGTATAATTTTAAGTCAGCTGTGACTAACTACTTGCAGCACATATACAGTTGAATTTCATGCTTCACAGATGAGACTCAATTTGGCAAAAATAGACGTAGTATGTATAAAGTGCAGCAGGAATAAGGGGTCAGACAGTCGCGATACCTTCATGAGTCAATTTACCTTTTAAATCTTCATATTTGTTCCAGTTAATGATTGGTCCTAACGTGTGTGCTAACTGTTGGTTAGCAAACTAACAGGGTAATAAGAACAGAGGGATCTGAAATTATTCGCTCATTCGACAAACTCAACTCCCTACAAGGAAATTCTACGTAGACGACTCTGCAGTGAGGATATTGTTAAAAAATTAATAATTTTAACGAGAATGTGGTAATTCTGTCATTACTGAGGCACAATTAAAGATTATTAGCCATCTTTGTAATGTTTAGAAATTATTATTCATATTAATAAATACAGTAATGTTGGTGCTTTGGAATGTGTGTGAGGCTACAGTGTTAGGTGTTTTGTTTTTTCGGCACAATAAAATGTAATACTCACTACATCTTCTACTATAAGAGGTGTGTTCAAAAAGTTCCAGGACTTAAAAACTCTTTACCTGAGTTATGCTCATCTCGTCTCAAAATCACATTGATCTGGATGGATGGATTCCAGAGCAGCTGCTATGTTTTACATCATTCTCTCCCGTATGGATTTCACCAAACATCCCACACTTTAGCAAACTCCTCTTTTGAAACTGGCTCCATCTTTGAAGGAAGGATCTTGACCGGTGATGAAAGCTGGATCTCAGGTTGTGACTGACTATTTTTCAAGTTTTCAGTTGTTAGGTGAGAGGCACGACCAAAGCATCACCACCACTTCTTTAGTATTTACTCCATTGTGCATCACGGGTTCATCCACCAGCACAATGCTGTTGAAGCGAAGTTGAATTCAATTGAATTCAGTTTTATTTATACAGCACCAAATAATGACAACAGTCGCCTCAAGACGCTTTATATTATAAGGTAGACCCTACAATAGAGAGAAAAACTCAACAATCATATGACACCCTATGAGCAAGCACTTTGGCGACAGTTAAGGAAAAACTACCTTTTAACAGGAAGAAACCTCCGGCAGAACCAGGCTCAGGGAGGAGCACTTCCTCATAGGGTGTCATCTGATTTTGGGGGTTTTCTCTGTATTATTGTATCATTTTTTACCTTACAATATAAAGAGATGTGGTGCTGAATGTGCCGTGAAAATCCCACTCTAGCGGACAAAAACAGTGCTCTTTATATGTACGCAAACGCGCGTTGCAACTTCTTATCTGGTGCGCGTCTTTTATTTTGACAGCGAAGGCACACCTGCAGACCACTTGATAATGGATTGCATTTATATAGCACTTTTCGAGACCCTCAAAGCACTTTACAATTCCACTATTCATTCACTCACTGGTGGAGTCAAGCTACAGTTGTAGCCACAGCTGCCCTGGGGCAGACTGACAGAAGCGAGGCTGCCATATCGCGCCATCGGCCCCTCTGACCAACACCAGTAGGCAGTAGGTGAAGTGTCTTGCCCAAGGACACAACGACCGAGACTGTCCAAGCCGAGGCTCGAACCGGCAAATTTCCAATTACAAGACGAACACCCAACTCTTGAGCCACGATCGACCAGGACTTATGTGCACCCCTGCATATAAACCATTTCAGTGCTGACGTCAGCATCAATTTAGAGTCACCACTTCATAAAAACAAGCTGTAGGTAATGATTCTGAGCAGAAAAGACCTACTTTTTCTGTACATCAGTGACATTAATTCACTATTTGGTGTCATTCTTTAAAATTTTAATCTTATTTGTTTAGTAAGAAAATTGCTCAGGCAGCATCGTACATGTAGGCCGCAGGATACAGAGAGACTCGACAGAGCCATGTAGTAATCTTACGGCCCTACTATTTGGATCGACTGCTGTGCACTTAAGAGAGCAGGAACATAAACACAGCGATTTTCCTGAGTGAAAGGTTGCTCCTAAACCTCTCACAAACTGTCAGCATAGATCCCTGCAATTTTGCATTCAAAGTTCAAACACACTGAACTCTGATGGCCACGATACTGAATTTGTGTCTGGAAGCAATAGAATTTGAGCACACTCATCAAAAAATAAAAGCTGCTAGGAAATATTGGCTGACTGCTTTACACACTGATGTGAAAGATATGCTAAAAATCATAAACAGTAACGATTCATTTTGCACAGAGCTGCTGCAGTACTTTGAATACTTTAATTTATTTTGAAAATTAAAGATTTCAAAACTATTGGAAATCTGAAACATTCAACCAATATTTTAAGAACTAGCACATTTCTAATGTTATTTATGTCACTGGGGAGTGAAGCCTGAAACTTCCACCTTCTTTTCCTTCCAGAAGTCTCAGGCTTCACATCGTAGTTTATTATACATGCCTCTCCACTGAGAACAGCTTGGAAATGTTTATGTTAAATTTTTGGCCCCTAAAAATTTAAAGGGTTGGCCATGGCCGGTGGGCGGCTGACCTCACACTCTGGACTGGAGAGATACCAGAGGGCCCTGAGGAGTGTGGGTAAATCCCGGAGGCCTTCAGCTAGCCGCTACAAAGCTGCTCTGACAAATCAGCCGGAGGGAAGGAGAAGAAGCTGAGGCTGCATGGAGGACCACCAAGGCCAAGAGGCCCGGGGCTATGCAGGGCAATGCTCACTGCACCACTCACTCTGTGCTTTCAGTTTGGTTATTTTAATATTACGACTCATGATGAGAAAATCCATTCCTGAAACAATCCATAGAGTTGAGACGTTTATCGATTTTACTGTATTGAGGGAGTTTTTATGTTACAAAACGTGTGCTAAAAATTGCTGCCGAAGCAAAAGGTCTCAAGGTCTTGAAACATAATCTGAACTTTATTCATCCCTTACTCTCTCAGGTCAGTCAGGATCCTCAAGCAGGTGATCAATAAATCAACAGTCAATGTTGGCGACTTTCAAGCCTTTGAGTCGCCGAGCAGCTGAATAGGGGAATAATGTTGACGCGCCCGCTGTTTAAAACGTTAGTCAAAGTTCCAAGTTAAAACTCCTTTATTTGTTATCAAATCCTTAAAATCCGTAGAAAAACAGTGATCAAAAACATTCCAAGCTTGAGCGGTCAGCAAAAGTCGACTTCCCCCATCACCCACTCATTCACAAAATTTCCCTCGGGCCGTGAACAGGCGATATAACAATCACTATTACTGACACCACGTGACCCAAAGCTACGCCTATCCATAACATTCCGGCCCCTAATTATTACATTTTTACAGTAATAATTACACATCCAACACCACAACTCACAACACGCACTTCATCAATCACAGACACCCAGTGAGACAACATAACATACTCAAAAAGTTCACCAAAGTTATTTTCTCATGTCTTCTCTTCTTTTCTTCTGTCTGCACATGGTCAGTCAGTCATAGGCCAGAGGTTACCAGCACTTAGCCTAAATATAGTCAGTCTGTGATATACATCTCATAACATTAAAGTCAATTCAAAGTTAGTTATGTCACACTGTGTCAAAAATGTCATAGTCATGGGTCAGAGGCCTCCTGAAGAAGGCATATCTTTGTGATGGGTCTGCACACATGGCTGGTTGGGGTCTTAATCCAGACCTGACGCACAAGCCCCTTTTCATCTGGTGCAGCTCCGGTGACTCTCCCAATGATCCAGGAACCACGAGGTGCAGAATCATCCACTATAAGGACCACATCTCCGGGAACGAAGTTGCGTTTAATCCTTCCCCATTTCTGGCGCTCTAATTCTGTGACTGGGACTCTCTTTGCATATCCTCTAGATATAAGATCTGTCATGAAGGCAGTGTAGTCTTTGTGAAAGTCTTTATCTCTGATGAACCTTTTCTTCAAACCTAAGGCTCGGTGCTCAATTGCACGGTTGTCAGGCATTCTTATGTCTCGGTCTTTTAGTGGCAGGGCAATGCTGTAATGCCAATCCCCCAAAGTCACCGTCTTGCTGGCCAATTCCAGGAACTTCAAGTCTTCCTTTGACAGCCCCATCTGTTCATCATTGCTGCTCTCAGGAAAATCCATCTTGAACTGCTGTTTCCATTGCTTGTCCAGTATGACAGCAGAAACTCTGTTGGCGGTAACTGTTGCCAAACATCCTGGCCTTCCACAGCATTCTCGATTAAGTGGCCCATTCACAGTCCAGCCGAGCACAGTCCTAATGGCAAAGGGTCCATCACCTACACTCCGGATGACCTCCAAAGGTTCTAGAGCTCTGGGCATATTCATGCCAATCAAAAGCTCAACATTGGCCTTAATTTCTGGCAAATGAACATGCTTCAAATGTGGCCAGTCAACCAGGTCCTGTTGATTTGGGATGTTACCAATATCTACAGGCATTTTATGCTGAGTGAAGAGGTTAGGCATATCACAGTACATGTCACTGTCCAATCCAGCAACTTCAAGTTCAGGTACAATGAAACTGTCCACCACTTTCTCCTGTCCCATGGTGCGCAGGAGAATCTTTGTCCTCCTCCCAGCAATATTCAGCTTGTCCATAAGACCCACTGTACAAAAGGATGCTGAACTCCCTTGGTCCAGAAAGGCATACGTTTCCACTATTCTTTGGTCTCTCTTTGATTTTACTTTAACTGGCACAATGGCAAGCTTACAGTCCTGTTCACCGGCCCCAGTAAGACCACTAGTCTGGATCGTAACAGGAATGTTATCTGCCTCATTATTAGGTTTGATTTCATTCTTCTCTTTGTGGTGGATATGGAGTATACTTGCATGTCGGAGGCCACAGATTTTACATGAAAGGCGTTTTCTGCATTCTTTGCTTATGTGCCCAGTACACAAACAGCCAAAACAAATGCGGTTCTTTTTAAGAAAAGAAATCTTCTCATCATGAGGTTTCTTATCAAGCAGAGCGCATGACTCCAGTGTGTGTCCGCCTTTGCAGAAAAAACAAGCCTTCACAGTGCTGTGACGATCTTGAGCCTCTATCTGATTCTGTCTCTCAACATCAGAGACTGTTGTGGCGAAGCTACTTCCGTTAGCTTTTAGATGTGGAGAACATTTCCCTCCATTGCTGCCCTTGGCTGCTAGATGTGTTGCTGGAACGTCACATAGATTTCCAAAGATGGGATCTGTTACAATTTTAACTTGACGCTCAAGGAAGGAAACAATGTCAATGAATGCGGCTCTGCGATGTTGCCTCTCCTGAATGTCATATGCTACTGTTCGCCATTTGTCTTTTAACTTATATGGCAGTCTTCTAATCACAGCAAGCATATTGGCAGGTGTATTTAATTCAGAGAGATCATCAATCTCTTCCATTGCATTGCAGCATCCACGTAAGAACAAACAATATGCCTGAAGAGCTTTTCCATCTTCTTCTCTAATCAGTGGCCATGAGTGAACTTTGTTTAAATAAGCAGATGCAATCACATGTCCATTCCCAAAGTGCTCATACAGCAGAGTCTTTGCCTTTACATATCCAGCACTTCCAGACATATGTTGACAGCTTTTAACAAGTTCATTGGGCTGCCCCTTGGTGTACTGTGCAAGATAATGCAGGCAGTCGCCAGCATCGCCAGTCTTTGCTTCTATGACCTGTTCATACGAGCGCATAAAGGCCTGAAAATGTAAAGGGTCGCCATCAAAGGTTTGAATCTCCCTTTTGGGCAGTGAAGAAAGACTTTGCTGATGGACCAACATACAAGTTAATTCATTTTGTTTTTCCATAATGGACAACAGATTTTCATTGGCTACTGGAAGAGCAGCTTGTGGCTTAGGCAAAGGTGGAATTGATCCAAAAGCGTCAGAAGGCCCCATGAGAGCTGGTGCAGGCCTTTCCCTTTTCATATTCTGTTGCACTGTTTTTACCTGAAGCTCTGCATTCCCAGTGATTGCATTTCCTTTTGCAAGCATCTGAGGAACAAAAGTCTCTGCATCCGCATTAAGAATTTCAAGGCTGTTTCCCTTTGGTTTAAAATATGATTCCATTCCATTAGATTTCCGTGAAGCGATGCTCCGCATAGTGGATCCAGTTCTCAGCACGTTCACCTTTGCAACAGTTGCAGCTATATCCGCTTCAAGCTGAAGTTGTTCTTTCTTTCTCCTCAATTGTTCCTCTTGTTCTTCAAGAGAGTGTTTTTCTTTCAGCATATGTTGACGTGCGAGCAAGGCGGCCATTTCAGCTTCTGCCCTGATACATGCAGATGAAGTAGATGATACTCTTGAGCTTGACCTACTGCCTTGATTTGACACACTGTCGGATGGCAACACGTCATCATTAACATCGTTCTGAGGATTAAGAGATGATTGAGGTTCTTTTCCAGTGTGTTCTCGCACCTCCACTTCTCCTCCCAGGGAAGTTTCCTGTGACTGTGCTTTGTCAGATAATGGCCTCCCTGAATGTTTATCAGTTTCAGAAAGCCATATCTTAACATCCTCCATAAACCCTTTATTGTATTTAGAGATGCTTGAGAACCATGTATTTTGTTTAGCTTTCTCATCAAATGAGATTAGAGAAAGTAAAGATTCATGGAATGCACTGGCATCCTTAAACAGGTGTGTTAACTCATCAAACTGTTTTTTGACTTGTGAATGATTTTTATCATCTTTCATTAGCTCTTTAAGAGACATAATAACACTTTTCATTTTGTTTACATGCCTTTTCCGATCTGTTTGGATGGTTTCAATTTTGTTTGCAAGAGCTTTCTCAGTGAGGGAAGTTATTCTTTTATCCTTTTCAGTTTTTCCAACAACAGATGCAGCCTGTGATCCACTCATTTTAAGCATTCAACATAAGCAGCATGCCAAAATCCAAAACAAAGGCAACAGCAATTCCTTCAAACTCAGTTGAACGCCTGCAGAGCCACAACTCACACACACCAAATCCAACAGCAAACGTAGCGGTGGGCGTGTCACAAAAACATCTTCGTATGGTCAGAATCCAAACTGCGTTCAAACAAACAATACGCAGCACAAAAACACAGTTTACATACCACCGTCGTCTTCTCCTTATCTGTCGGTCTAGCCGCTTTTACGGGTGTAGTGGCGGCAGTGTGTGGGCTCGCATCGGCGTTTATTCAGCGCTGATTGCGGGACGGTCCATTGCCGTCGCACTTTTTGCTGACAAATGTTGGCGACTTTCAAGCCTTTGAGTCGCCGAGCAGCTGAATAGGGGAATAATGTTGACGCGCCCGCTGTTTAAAACGTTAGTCAAAGTTCCAAGTTAAAACTCCTTTATTTGTTATCAAATCCTTAAAATCCGTAGAAAAACAGTGATCAAAAACATTCCAAGCTTGAGCGGTCAGCAAAAGTCGACTTCCCCCATCACCCACTCATTCACAAAATTTCCCTCGGGCCGTGAACAGGTGATATAGCAATCACTATTACAGACACCACGTGACCCAAAGCTACGCCTATCCATAACAGTCAATGCATTCTAATCTAGTGATGGGATTTCCGGCTCTGTTTAGAGATCCGGATCTTTCGGTTCGGCTCACTAAAAAGAGCCGGCTCTTTCGGCTCCGAACCGGCTCTTCAGGTTGTTTTGTTGCTTTAATTAATTTATTATTAACAATAATGTAAAATTATGCACAAAAGGAATTACTAACGTAAAAACAAGTGGTTTTATTTA